ACTTTTAATGAAAACATGTTCTATAGAGACGGGATTGCGAGAATACTGCAAATGTAAATAAACGGCTAGAGCAAGTATCATTAGAAGAAATTTCGAGAAAGTGATGTAGTCAACAGAAGGCGAGAATATACAAGTAGAGCCTATGTCGAGCACTGAGACGGAACCTGAACAAATAGTAGAGTCGGCAACTCCTGAAATCTTGGTTAGAAGATCTAGCGAGAACAATTGTAGCACCACAAAGGTATTCCCCTTCATTGCATTATTTGTTGTTGGCTGATCTTTGGTGAGCCGGAGCATTTCTTGAGGCTATGCGGGGAGATGAATCTATTAAGTGGGAGCTAGCAATGGAAGATGAGATAAAGTCCCTTCGAGAAGAATAAAACATGGTCTTTAACCAAGCTACCGGAAGGAAAGAAAGTTTTGCAAAACAGGTGGGTCTATAGGTTGAAAGAAGAACCGGATGGCGGCAAAAGATATAAGGCTAGACTCGTAGTGAAAGGGTTCCAACAAAGACAAGGAATTGACTTCACAGAAATTTTCTCTCCTGTTGTCAAGATGACTACCATCGAGTTATCTTGAGTATAGTAAGCTACGAGAAAATCTTCATTTGGAGCGGTTAGATGTCAAAGCTGCATTCTTACATGGGGATCTTGAAGAGGAAATTTTTATGACACGACCAAAAGGTTTTGAAGTACAAGGCGGAGAAAATCTTGTATGCAAGCTTCATAAAAGTTTGTACGGATTAAAACAAGCGCCGAGACAATGGTACAAGAAGTTTAATGAGTTTATGAGAAACTCGGGATTTCGCGAGATGTGAAGAAGATCAGCTGTTGTTATGTGAAGAAATATGTTGATAGCTATATCATTCTTGCCTTATATGTTGACGACATGTTGATTGTTGGAGCTAATATGGCGAGAAATTGACAAGTTGAAGAAACAATTGTCGAAGAGCTTTGAAATGAAGGATCTTGGTCCGGCCAAGCAAATTCTTGGTATGAGAATCTCCAGAGATAGAGATAAAGGTATTTTGAACTTATCTCAAGAAAAATATATAGAAAAATTGCTTAGCGAGATTCAATGTTGGGAATGCTAAAACCAGGAATACACCTTTGGGAACTCACTTAAAGTTTTCAAAGAGGCAATCTTCTCAAACAGAAGAAGAAGAAAGTCACATGTCTAAAGTGCCATATGCATCTGCAGGTAGGAAGCTTGATGTATGCTATGGTTTGCACCGGACCGGACATAGCACATGCGGTGGGAGTTGTGAGCAGATTTCTATCAAATCCAGGAAAGGAGCATTGGGAAGGAGTGAAGTGGATATTCGAGATATTTGAAAGGCACTTCAAAGATGCATTTGTCTTTCAAGAGAAGTAATCTCATTTTACGGGGTTTTCGATGCGAGACTTGGGAGGTGATCTTGACGGTAGAAAGAGCACAACGGGTTATATTTTTACATTGGGTGGTACAACTATCGGTTGGAAGTCTAAACTTCAAGGAAGGGTCTCTCTCTCAACCACTGAAGCGAGTATGTAGCTATCTCGAAGCGGCGAAGGAGATGATATGGTTGAAGAACCTTCTAAAAGAATTAGGAAGAGAACAAGATGGTTCTCCGTTGTTTAGTGACGAGTCAAAGTGCTATTTGTCTTGCTAAAAATCCAATCCTTCATTCCGAGATGTAAGCACATTGAATTGAAGTATCATTTTATCGAAACACGATAAATGATGGAGACTTGAGTTTGTTGAAGATTCCAGGTGCGAGAGAATCCGCTGATATGTTGACCAAGGCTGTTACAACAACTAAGTTGAGGCTTTGCATTGCCTCAGCGGCCTTCGAGCAAATTGATGATGAAGGCACTACACTAGGTGGTAACGTAAATCAAACTCCAAGTGGGAGAATTGTTAGTATTATGGTGCTTGATTTAGTCCCACATCGATTAGGATTGTGAGATGAGGTTCTCTATTTTGTTATATAAGCAACCCTATGTAAAGTTTGAGATACACACAGAAATAAAAATTACTTCCTAGTGTAGTCGTGGACGTAGGCATACATATTTTAGCCGAACCACGTTAAAATTCTTGTGTCGTTTATTTTTCTCTCCTTCATTCTTTCCTTTATTATTGTCTTGTTCCTAACACTTAATACTAAGTAAGTAATGATAACATTATACTTTCTAATATAACAATTTCATAATTCTTTAATACTTATTTTTTATTTTTATCAGATTTCATTATGACAAAAACTTCAATGCGGATAGTGAAGTTTTATATGGTTTGTATAAGATTATTGAAAAATAATCCCATATAGAAGAATTATATTTCAACTTGATCAACAACTTGATAGATTTAAGAAAGCCCAAAGATTGTTTGGAAGAAGCATGACAATAGACACTAGGAATAAGAAGTAACTTGGTATAACTTTTGTCTTTATTCAATATTTCATTAAAAGCATAATTCCATAATTATAAATGTTGTCTATTTGGTGGAAAAGGTACGGTGGGGAAGGTAAAGAATTACAAAATCTAACAATGAAGATGTTACGTTAAGTCTCACTTAGAATGCTACTGGATGCAAAAGATTGGAGTTTATTTGATCATGTGCATACTAAAAGAAGAAATCACTTAGAAGAACAATTGTTAAGTATAATCTTTAACTTGAGACGAGACAAAAAGTTAGAAAAGAGAAAAGTGATTCTTATGGTCCTATATGTTTATCTGATATTGAATCAGATGATGAGTGAAATATTAAAAAGGACAATCCTTACCTACTAAATGATGTTTCATTTATTTTATTCTTGAAGAGGGAGCTCCAAGCAAGAAAAGGAAGAAGGATATTTATTTAAACTATAAAACTTGTGTTGTTAAATTAATCATAAATATTGTAATACTTACAACAACAAAATTTCCTTTAAGAAAATTTAATCACTAAGGTTGACAAAAAGAAAAAATCTACCATAATAACAAATGATAATAAAATTGAAAAGATGATTGAAAAAGTGGAGGAACAGGATGAAAATGAACTAAGTAACATTGACGTGAAAGATCACCAATAAAAGCAAAATATTAAAATATGAGATGTAAGTATCATTTATTATTATGTTTTGATTTTATACATTGAACATTTTAATTTCATTCTAATAATATTTTTTATCACTTATTTTTACTTAAAAATATCATATTTTATTTATCTTATCTTACCATTCGTAATAAAATTTGATTCACGAATAAAAAAATTGTAAAAGTCATTCATGATTTGAATCTTGATAATCATAATTTTTATAAAATATGTTACATTACTTCAAGAATAAATTTGATTTGGTCTGTCATGAATGTTATACCTATTATAATATTATCTTATATAAATTTTATATAATTATATCTTATTATATATTATAATATAATATATTATATTTATATAAAAATATAACGAATTTTTTTTGGGAGGTGTGATGGGAAATTTAATGAGATATTTTTTGTAAGGAGGAAGAGAATGGAGGACCATATATAGAATATCAAGATTTTTAATGAAGTGGTAAAAATGGAGGTTAGCCACTGAAAATAAAAGCTTATGATGTGAAAAATATGAACCTTCATGATTTTTAAAGTAAAGGCTCATGTATTAGAATTAGGTTTGAGATTAGATGCGATACTTGAAAAATAAAAGTTATCATTGATTTATTATATATTTTAGTTCTATTATTTGACTAGTTGATGTGAGTCATCTTTCATTTACATAAGTTAGTTTAATCATATTTATAAACTTAGAATCCCAGTCTTTTCACTTTTTGAGCCAGGGGATGGTGATTAAATGCAACTCAATTAAAGGCTTTAACATAAAACAAGAACATACATTTCCGCACGATGTAAAATAAAGTCTACAACTATTGAGGAGGTGCTTACAAGCACATTGCAAATCAAAAGATGTGTTTCATTAGAAAGAACAATATGACATAATTGTTATTTTGGCGAATGAGAAGACCATTAATTTTGTGAACAGAAAGACATTATTGTACTGTATAAACCATTTTATTGGGTATGTACAGTTAATCGCAAAAACTATTATGAATGACTTTATTAATCATATATATAAGAGATGGATGAATGGAGATAATTTGCCTGTGCTTTAGAAAAATAATTCTAGATAACTTTTGACATTCTCTGCTTGTATCATAATATATTTATAGCAATTTAAATATTTTAATATACTAATTAATAATCGACTATAACCACACTTCAATAATAATGAATTCTCAATGTAAGGTGAAAATAATTATAAACCAAGTCAAATTTAATTATTTTAAGCCTCAATCAGAATTTTCTACAGTATTATAATTCATCAAGTACGTTAGTTAGCCCGTTGAAGAGGATGTTTTATAAGCTGAATCAGTTTACACCGACAATTTAAGCATAAAAATAGGGTGATTAGGAAGAAAAACCAAAGTTAATTTATAAGAAATTTGACTTTATCAGCTGTTTCACACCTCCGCGGCAAAGGAAGTAATCAGTGTGTTGCCTGCTGTGACGCGGTTCTATAATTATTTGTTTAAATCTAACAAATACTCATTCAGCTATGCCATTACCTACTCTCTTCTTGACTTCCTTTCCACCCATGTGGTGCAAATTATCAAACCGTTTAATGCCAATCCATTACATCAAGTTGAAATGTTTGAGTAATATAAACATATATTTTCAAACTTCAAGCCAGACTGTCATCTAAACTATGAGATCATTAGTTAAGCCGAACACTATATATAGGCTTCAAATTAATCCATACTTTGCCAAGCAACAAATTGAGATACCATAACAAGTGCTCTAAAGGAATACCACAGTTTTCTCACCCAGAGAAGATGGGAACGAGGCAATGGCCTCGTTTGATCCTTGCATTTGCATTTTGCCTAATTGCTATCAGTGTTGGTGCTGATGATTATAAGCCTTACTATGCCCAACCATCCAACTATCCACACCCAGCACCACCATATGAACAGGATAAACCACCGTATTACATCAACTCACCTGCATATTACTACAAATCTCCACCTCCACCACCACTTCACTATGTCCATGAATTCCCTCCATATTACTACAAATCACCCCCACCTCCTTCTCCATCTCCACCACCTCCATATGTTTACAAGTCCCCTCCACCTCCACCTCCCTCTCCCTCTCCCTCACCTCCTCCACCACCTCCTCCATATGTTTATAAGTCTCCTCCTCCGCCTTCTCCATCCCCACCACCTCCATATGTCTACAAATCACCACCACCTCCATCCCCCTCTCCTCCCCCACCATATATTTACAAGTCTCCTCCTCCACCATCACCTTCACCGCCTCCACCTTATGTTTACAAGTCTCCCCCACCACCATCTCCTTCTCCACCACCTCCATATATCTATAAATCACCACCTCCACCTTCCCCTTCTCCTCCTCCACCATATGCCTACAAATCCCCTCCTCCACCTTCTCCATCCCCACCACCTCCATATGTTTATAAATCTCCTCCCCCACCATCTCCCTCACCTCCTCCTCCATATGTCTACAAATATCCACCCCCACCATCCCCATCACCTCCTCCACCATATGTTTACAAGACACCACCACCTCCCTCTCCATCACCACCTCCACCATATGTTTACAAGTCCCCTCCTCCACCATCTCCTTCGCCTCCCCCTCCATATGTTTATAAGTCTCCACCTCCTCCATCTCCCTCCCCACCACCTCCATATGTGTATAAGTCACCTCCACCACCATCTCCATCGCCACCACCTCCTTATGTTTACAAGTCTCCACCTCCACCGTCTCCTTCTCCTCCCCCATCTTATGTCTACAAATCTCCGCCACCACCATCTCCCTCACCACCACCTCCATACGTTTATAAGTCACCTCCCCCACCATCACCTTCACCACCTCCCCCATATTACTACAAATCTCCACCTCCACCATCACCATCACCTCCTCCACCCTATGTCTACAAGTCTCCACCCCCACCATCTCCCTCTCCTCCTCCACCATATATTTACAAGTCTCCACCACCTCCTCCATATCTATATAAGTCTCCACCTCCACCTTCTCCATCACCTCCTCCACCGTACTATTATAAGTCACCTCCACCTCCATCACCTTCACCACCTCCACCATATTACTACAAGTCTCCACCTCCACCTTCTCCATCACCTCCTCCACCGTACTATTATAAGTCACCTCCACCTCCATCACCTTCACCACCTCCACCATATTACTACAAGTCTCCACCTCCACCTTCTCCATCACCTCCTCCACCGTACTATTATAAATCTCCTCCACCTCCATCACCTTCACCACCTCCACCATATTACTACAAGTCTCCACCTCCACCTTCACCTTCTCCTCCTCCACCATATCATCCCTACCACTATAACTCACCCCCGCCTCCCGTGTACTACTAAGCTTGCGGCTAAATCAATATGAATTTTTTCAATAAGTTATGTTCAGCGTTGTCGCGGTTAATTTGTAATTTGTAATAATCAGAATTTATTCAGAATAAGGTCTACAGCCAAGTGATCCTTATTTTGGATATACTGTATAGTTCATGCTTGTCTATTGGGTTAAATTAATTCAGAAGTGTGTATTGATCTCTCTCTTTCGAATATATATCATCTTTTATTCTTAGTTGCCGTTGACGTTGGTTTTCATTTTCCTGGATGATGACTTATCCAAACAGAAAATAATAATAATAATAATAATAATAATAATAATAATAATAATAACAATGGCAATAGTATTTATACTAGTAAGCATTAAAAAGGCAAAGTTATAAATACAAAGATATTATAAATACAAAATATTATAAATAATATAATGGTTTAAATAAGCAATATAATATATATATATATATATATATATATATATATATAGTATATTCTACTATTTTTACACATTTATCACTGTGGATATAAAAATAAAAAATAAATGGTTTATTTTATTTTATTGATATTATTTAGTTCTCTTTAGATTACATAGTTTTTTAACCGCGATACTAGTTAAAATATTTATTTTATTATTTTTGTAGTGCACTTCAAAATATTAATAATATAATTTTTATATTATTTTAATATTTTTACAGTATATTGTTTATTTTCACCATTTATCATATTTACATTTATTCTACTATTTTAATATTACATTTTAAGATATTTTAATATACTAATGAATTAACATAAAATTAAATTAAATTCTTTGGAAAATTGTGATATTAGTATATTGTTATTATAAAATTATTAGTTATAGTAAAAAAAAATTGTTTACCAAAAATTTATGATTCAATAATGTAGTTTAATAATGTTAAGTTGTTAACTAGTTGCCCTATTTTTTATAATTTTTGTCAAATATGATTGAGGTGCCCTATAAAAAACCTAGCAAGTAGTGTATTGAAACACTACTAAGTATTGTATTATTTAAAAACATTGCAAGTTATTTAAAAAAAAAAAAAACTTGTTAAGCAGAATTTTTAACTAGTTAACAAACTATAGATAAGCTAAATGATCAGTTGTTAGACCTACACATAATTAATTATATAATTCAATATTTGTCTCTTTAATTTAAAATAGATTAAAATATATATTTTTTCTTTCATATCATTTCATGTATATGACTTCTTTATTTTATCTCATTTTTCTATCGTATCATTTGTCCTATTAAATGTTCCCATCTCATTATTTGTGATTCATAAACTTTAATATGAGTTTAACATTTTTTGTGCCCTAATAAGGCGCATAAAAGATCTCGGTTGAACTGTTATTTATCTGTATCCCTATTTACATATTGTTTTGCAAGGTTGAGTAATAAATCATTGTATTTCTGTGTTTTCTTTTCTGAGAGTATAAACGTGGAAGCAAACATAGGTTGAGAGTCTCACCAATAATCCTTGGAATCTGCTTCAGTCTCAATATTTCTATAACCTAGTTTATGAATATTCCTGTAAAAAAGTTCATATACCTCTTGAAAAATTAATACAATTTAAACACACAGAAAAATCTCTAAGAAAGTCTTCAAAATGAGCTTTGGACAAATATACAATGAAAGATAATATATACAAACTGCGTATGTGTTTAAACTTATACAAGTTTCCATGTTAAACGAAAGACATTCCAACTTGCACTATTAGCCTCATTGGAACCTAATTACATTTAATTAGTTAATAAATTAAGAATGTCTGACATAATTGATAAATATTTTAGTGGATCCCTTAAATTAATATCTGACCAAAAACTTTAGACACTCTAGGATATTAAAAATTTAACGCAGACTATTCCTCTGAATATATTTTTTATGCCCTCTACAACCATTTTTCTTCTGCTTTAGGTCACAATGAATGTCTGAATATATTGCCAGTGATCATGAGTCTGGTGAAACATATAATATAATTCGAATAAAATGGATAGTAATGCTAGATACTGAGGACGGACTAAAACCCTTTCACGTACTTCCTCCAAATCATAACTAATTAATAGTGATGGAACATCAACCAATCATATAAAAAAATATAATATCATCTTATCTATAATCTTAAAACATTAATTTATGTGTTTTTTTCAATTTTATTTTCATCAAACACTTCAATTCACGTTTGAATTCTAAATAAATAATAAAAAATTACAATTGAGATTAATTTTATTAGTTTGATCAAATTGGGAGGGAAAAATAGCAAAAAGGAATCTGTGGTAGTTAAAAGAGACTAATCAAATTAACTTGAGACGTGCATTCAACCAGCAAGCAACGTGTTAATCAAAGTATTTTTAGTGCCTTGCTGTATCAAATCATGAAAGCAATACGTTGCTGTTACAGAAAAAATAAACATTACGTTGAATAATAATAGTAAACTTTCAACGAAAAAAATAAAGAAATAAATAGCATTGCAACCTATCGATTTAAATTTCGTGTCCTGGATTTTTTTTAATAATCCATTTACTGCTCTAAAGTTAAAGAAAAAAATGGAGTTGCTGTGCAAAATGATCAAAAATCTATTCTCTGGTGGTGAAAGAAAAAAAGCACAAGCAATACACACGTGATATTAATCAAAACAATTAAAGTAGGATTACCGGCGTAGAAAGTAATTATACCCAGTCAAAAATAATTTATTTAAGTCAGTGTTTTGTCAAGTACGTTGGTTGACAAGAATGTCGTGTAACCTTCCTGGAGCAGTTTTCACCGACGATAAAAGCATAGAGAGCAACTTAGATAAGCTCAGATTTTTATAATCCACAAATATGGCATTATGAATTAGGAAGAAGAACCAAAGCAAGTGATTTTGCATTTGACTTTATCATCTGTTTCACACTCTAGGCCAGTTCTTCCTCAAAAGACAAGAAATAATCAGATTTGTCTGCTGTAACGCGCTTTTATCTATATTTGTTTAAATAAGATGAACTCATTCAACCATGCCATCACCTACTCTCTTGTTGAAAGCGCATGTTGTGGAAAATATGAAATGGTTTAATGAATACCAAATCAAGTTGAAATATTTAAACAATATAAATGTATTTTCAGACTTTAAGCCAGTCTGTCACCTTATCAACCATCACTGAAGCCAAACACTATATAAAGGCTTAAACTCCATACTTTGCCAAACAAGACATTGAGAGATCATAACAAGTGTTCTAAAGGAAGACCACTAAGTTTTCTCAGTAGGAGAAGATGGGAAGGAGGCAATGGCCTCGTTTGATCCTTGCATTTGCATTTTGCCTATTTGCTGTCAGTGTTGGAGCAGATGATTATAAGCCTTACAATGGCCAACCATCCAACTACCCAAACCCAACACCACCATATGAACATGATAAACCACCATATTACTACAACTCACCTCCATATTACTACCAATCTCCACCTCCACCTCATTATGTCCATGAATTCCCTCCATATTACTACAAATCACCCCCACCTCCTTATGTTTACAAGTCCCCTCCTCCACCCTCTCCCTCACCTCCCCCACCCTATGTTTATAAATCCCCACCACCTCCATCCCCTTCACCACCTCCTCCATATGTTTACAAGTCTCCTCCTCCACCTTCTCCATCCCCACCACCTCCTTACGTTTATAAATCTCCTCCCCCACCATCTCCCTCACCTCCTCCTCCATATGTCTACAAATCTCCACCCCCACCATCTCCATCACCACCTCCACCATATGTTTATAACTCACCGCCCCCTCCCTCTCCATCACCACCCCCTCCATATGTTTACAAGTCTCCACCTCCTCCATCTCCCTCTCCTCCCCCACCTTACGTTTACAAGTCACCACCCCCTCCATCCCCATCACCACCTCCCCCTTATGTTTACAAGTCCCCACCTCCTCCATCTCCTTCTCCTCCCCCACCATATGTCTACAAGTCTCCACCCCCACCATCACCTTCACCTCCCCCACCCTATGTCTACAAATCACCACCACCACCATCTCCTTCACCACCTCCCCCATATTACTACAAATCTCCACCACCACCTTCCCCTTCACCTCCTCCACCCTATATCTATAAGTCACCTCCACCTCCATCCCCATCACCACCTCCTCCATATTACTACAAGTCCCCACCTCCACCATCACCTTCACCACCTCCTCCATATTATTACAAATCTCCTCCTCCACCTTCCCCTTCACCACCTCCACCCTATATCTATAAGTCACCACCACCACCATCCCCATCACCACCACCTCCCTATGTTTACAAGTCCCCGCCCCCACCATCACCTTCACCACCTCCTCCATATTACTACAAATCTCCACCCCCACCATCTCCCTCGCCTCCTCCACCATATTACTATAAGTCACCACCACCTCCTTCACCTTCACCACCTCCTCCATACGTATATAAGTCTCCCCCTCCACCTTCTCCGTCGCCTCCTCCACCGTATTACTATAAGTCACCACCTCCTCCATCACCTTCACCGCCACCACCATATTACTACAAGTCTCCACCTCCGCCATCACCTTCTCCTCCTCCACCATACCACCCCTACCTCTATAACTCACCCCCGCCTCCAGTATATTAAGTTTGTGGCTAAAGCATTTTGATATAATTTTTTTTCCAATAAAACGTTCAACATTGTTGTAGTTATTTTGTAATTACTCATTCATTAATAATTGGGTATACACTGTGGGATTCTTATTCTTACTCTAGTGTAGCCCATGCGTTTGTATTGGTTTTAATTGAAAAGTGTGTATTAATCTCTTTCTATAAATATACATTGTTACCATTTTTCTATTTCTGATGTTGGATTCCATTTTGCTCTTTGCATTATGAAATTACGATCTTGATAAAATTCACCAATCATGAACTTTGGATATAAATTTGATTTGTATAACAGGAGAGAATTTCACTCGCACTCCGTGTTTATCTCTTATAATATATATATATATATATATATATATATATATATATATATATATATATATATATATATATATATATATATATATATATCAAATAACATTAATATTGATTAGAAGATATATAGATGGATTTATATGATAGAGAGAGGGATATAAAAATAATTTATAAGTGTTGATTACATGTTTAAAATTAATAAATGGATTATATTACTCACCATGTTTTTATGGTTTTAAATAAACCGATAAGAAATAAAAAAGAAAAAAGAAAACTATCACGCCGTCTCTCCCATTGATTCTGGGTCTAGTATAGTTTCAAATTGTCTTTGGTTCTCTCTTCTAGCACATATGAAAACCATAAAATGTGAAAACAATATTGCGATATTATTTCTGATGAAACCAAACATGCTATAAAGCAATCCATATGCATCACTCTTAAATTGATGGATTTGATAAAGCGATGGTTGGAAACCAAACACGTTTATTGTTTTCAAAATTTTAGTACATCCAACTTCCAAAGTTTTGCTAAGGGTGTGAAAAGATGATTTTTTTGTTTAGCAGTAGAAAATAATTTAGAAAGAGGTGGGTCATGAGAAGGTTTTTATGAGACAAATAGTAATTGGTTCAGGTTCTTATGAGACATATAGTAATTGGTTCACGTTCTTATGAGACAAATAGTAATTGGTTCTGTAAATGTCATAAATGACATTGTCTATTTACATGCTTGAACCACCATTTTCTAAGTATTCTATATTATTTTAAATAATTCTATTTTTTTTTTATTTTAAAATTATTTATCTTTTACTATCAAATATTTTTAAAATATGCTAATAATTTTAATATTACTTATATAAATTTCTAATTTTAGTAGTAGTTAAGAATTTATTTTTTCAGATCTTTTTAAAATTTGCATCGTCTTGAACCGATCAAGAACAGAATGCATGGGAGTAGAAGGACCATTGTGGTGCTTTACCCTATGTAGGGAGGGTTTAAAACCAAACACTTTTATTGTTTTCAAATTTTTAATATATATGTATGTGTTAAATAATTTTTTTAAATCACTAGGCCAACACTTAAACTCTCTCAACATCCAATGTGTGCATATAACATCTTAATGGTGCATAAAAATATAATACTTTTTTTATTTTTATTTTTATTTTAATATTTTTAATTGATTATTTTGGTATAGATATGTTAATTTCTTTTTTTTTTAATTAATTAGACCAAATTTGGCCCATTAGCCTAACAAGATTCATACTAGAGTAAAAATTTTAGTTTGTTTTAAAATATAGATTACTCATAATTTTTTTTACTATACACAAATTAGACTAGAGTAGATCACTCATTTTGACATCTCGGTATGATATATAGATTTATCTAATAAAAAATTATTTATAGTAATTAATTTAGGTAATTCAATAAACAACTTTCATTAAAAATATTTTTAAAAATTTCTTCAAGAGACCCACTAGATTCTTCAAAACCATAATACTCGTTTTTTTTAAAACAACCCACAATAAAATAATAAAAAAATTGATAGTAAAATATTATTTTCATAAGCAATTTAAATATATATAATTTCTTGTTAATTTAATTTTATGCATATATAATTTAAAATTATTATATATTTAAATTTATGTATAATCTCCTATGACTAGGATTAAATATCATTTATAATATATATTTTCTTATGAAAAAAAATTATTAATATTTTTTATCAATATGTTTAAACATGGATTATTGACACACGAACTTCTAATCATATGACAAAAAATTTGAAACTCCTTCAAAAGTTAAAAACCATACAAGTATACCCCGTGAAAATGTCAAATGGATAACAATTTGTAGAAAATAAAGAAGATGTATATCCCTTGAAGGAGAAATAAAACTTAACAATATGTTATATATACTTAGATGACAATGTAATCTAATATTTCCGTTTCAATTGTTGAATGAATCAAATTAGACGGCTTAATTCACTAAATCTATATGTGTTATACAATATCTCACTTCAAAGACACTTATTCGACAGGGTGAAGGATGGGCTTACAATTTCAAAGGGGTTCAACAGGAGCATGCGTTCAAAACTAGTCTCAAATGTTAAAAATAAAAATAATGAGCTTGCAAAATAAAACTTGTGATATATGTCAAGTGACAAAACAAAATAGAGAGAATTTTCCTTTGAGTAATAATAAAGTTATTAGCATTTTTTAATTAATTCATTGTTATTTGTGAGACTCTATCGAACTTGGTCACCTTGTCATACATCTTATGTTTTTAATTATAGAGTATGACTATTCACATGTTATTTGGAGTTATCTTTTACTTAATAGAAAACACTACAAGAAAAATTGATATTATCTACTGTCCAAATATGGTATTACAAAAAATCCTTAAGTATAGAGATATTCCTACCAATTTTTGGCAAAAAAAGATCCCTAGGAAAAACGTCATAGGTAACATTAGCTACAAATTTTTAAATCTGTAAGTAACAGTTAGCTATGGATTTTTAAATTCATAGGTAATTCATACTACATAATCCATAGCAAATGTCCATAAAAAATTACATACGAATACATCAATAAGTAATTATATATATATATATATATAAATAAATAAATAAGTAATTTATCTATTGATATATCCCTACATATTACCTACTTATATATTCCTAGGTATTATCAACGGATATATCAATATATAATTACCTATTGAAGTGGTAACATACATTTATCTCTATTTTTCTTTAAAAAGTTTCAACTAGATTTTAATATTCATATATTCAATCATGTATTATCTAAATATTCATATATATATATATATATATATATATATATATAATTATAAAATACAATGTTTAACACATGTTTTGAACACATTATATCAATAATAAGTTTTCAACACAAGTTTAGAACATTATTTTAAAAGACTAGTTAATAAAACAAGATGATAATAAAAGTCATCTATATAAATAACAAAATTAAATCTTAAACAAAGTCCATAATAAACGTTCTAAGATATCTCATAGTCAATATATTCTTCTCCTTTTGGCGAATTATTTTGTTCTTGATCACCTTTATCCTACTGATTGCCTTAAACTTGTTCATTGTCATATTGTTGGAAAATATTTTGTGCAATTGTTGGTGGTAGTAGGTACTATAGGACTACACCAAGAAATGTTTAAATAGATTGAAATTGAGAACTCATTTGATAAATTTGCTCCTCACTAGTGGATAGTCGTTGTCTCAATCGTGTAATCTCCTATGAATCAACTTAATTAGAAGATGCTTCAGTTTGTTTTACGAGATTATCAACATAATCATCATGATGTCCAACAACCATAGACTCATCTTTTATACCTTCCATCTACAACAACTAATCAATATCTATTCATTTGTCTCTCTTTAAGGAAGCTTCTAGAGTCCTATTGAATTGTGTTGCTTTGTTATAAAAACACTATGAAAAACAAATTAAGATCATTCGAAGTGATAATGAGTTTCCAGGCTTATCAATAAAGTTTCTTAAACTTGACATTATTTTTCAAACATCTTGTAAAGGGACACCTCAACAAAATGGTTGAGTTACAAGAAACCACAAACATGTCCTTAATGTAGCACATGCATTAAAATTTCAAGGTAACCTTCATATTTCTTTTTAGAGTGAATGTATCTTAATAGTTGGATATCTAAACATCAACACCTTTTTTAGATGGAAAAACTCCTTATGAAATGTTTGGCAACCACCTTTAAATAATCACTTAATAGTGTTTTGTTTTTTATGTTATGCTCATAATCAAGGTAGAAAAGGAGATAAATTTGCTACTCGTAGTAAGAAATGTATGTTCGTGGGTTATCCTTTTGTGACGAAAGGATGAAAGTTGTATGATCTGGAGACTAAAAGTTATTTTGTGTGAAAAGATGTTGAACTTTTTGGAAATGAATTTCCTTTTACACAACCCACTAGTAATGAGTTTGTTCCTACTATGATGATATTTGATGTTAATATTTAAGATAATGGTACCGAAAATTGTTATATTGATGATTATGGATTTACAAAAGGTAAGACAATAAGTGAGATAGGGATGGAAGAAAATTTAGAAAATACACTTCCTTCCTAAAATTAGACAGAAAGCAATGAACTAATATGATCGAAGTAAAAAACTCATCTAATTGTTCTTCAACTCCACAACATAATTCAGATGAGTCATATCCCATAACACATGATGTGAGTTGTGATAAATTTTTTTTTTGAAGTATCACAGGTTCCTTGCAGCATTAACTACCAAGAAAGAAGCAACAAGCTATTCTTAGACAGCAAAAGATGATAAATGAAGCTAAACCATGAGATAAGAAATACAAGCACTTGAAGACAATAAACCTAGACAATGTGTCCTGTACCAAAAGACAAAAAGGCATTGAGATAAAAAAGAGTATATAAGATTAAGTACAACTCATATAGAATTATAAAACCTTTTAAAGCTTAGTTAGTCATACTTAGAAACCATCTTATTGAAGGAGTTGATTATATAGAGACATTTGCCTCAATAGAAAAATGGTTATCGTTCGATTTGTATTAGCAGTTGTTGTAACTAAAAATAGGGAGTTTCATAAAATGGATGT